TAGTGCCACATCTTGTAGTTTGCTTTGGTCTTAAGCATTGTAATGTTTTGACCAAAGTATTTAGGTACATTAGCTGGTTTACAGCACATATCTGTACATGAGGGAACCATGATGCAAATGTGTGCAAATGTATGTGAGTAAAGAGTTTAGAGTGTACAGTAGATGCATGTATGTAGAGAGCTCAAGGCTCATAACCTGTTGAGAGGGAGAACTTAAGGGGGGCATGCATAGACAAGGGGTGAGGTGATGATTGACTGCTCAGTGTCTCTCGTCCTTATATTGTATGTATTCTAACTGAGACATTATGAAGTCATTGTCTTGTGGTTTGTCTGTTGATGAACTAATCATCTTATAATACTGCCCTTCAGACTTTAATAGGCAGCACTTTGAGGACTTCCAGTACCAAGTTGAACTATACATGGCTGCTGCTTTGACTAATCTATCCTCAGATCTTGATTGTATCCTATTTGTCCTCTCCTTTATGAAGGAAGGCAATACAGCCACCTGAGCCTAGAACTGGATTGAAGGTCATCAGATTAGAAGCCTGATCCAACTTTAGAATGATGAGTTGTACTCAGAATTCATAGGGCAGCTCTATACTTCCTTCATCAATCTGAATAAGAAGTGTAATGTGTAGAACAAGCTTGTGTCTCTGTGACAGGGCAAACGTTCTACTAATGCCTTCTTTTAGGAGTTCAATATCCTGGCCCAGAAGGTAGGATTCATACTCAGGTTTGATAATGTCCTTATTAGAATGCTTGAAAAAGCTCTTCACCTAGAACTAGTCAATAAGATTCTCAGAATGATGCTAGAACTAGTCACCTACACTGAGTAGAAGACACACACTATCTCCTTTGACTAAGCTGTAGCTTGAATGTGTCAAGTCTGTATAGAACACTCACACATGTGTCTAGCTCTGACAGTTCTGAGCCCTCAGATTAATCTGCCTGTAATTTGTAATCAATCTGTTCTGATGGACATTAGAGAAGTCTGAAAGTAAGGAGCATACTTTGTCTACAGAAAGTCAGGACACCAAATTAAGGACTGTCTACAGAAGTGACAGTATATCTGTTAGGTCATTAGAGTGATAACAAGTGACAAGCAGGATTTGTAGTGAGAAGCCTTTTCTGCAAATCTGAAAGTCACCTCAGAACTCCCAGACCCTGACTATGTACTCTAGGATTTTGTAGAGGCCTAACAGTAAATGTGGTACTGAAGAGCTATGACTCAGATTTTTTAATGGCCACTTTTGATTCAATGGACACTGTAGGATTAGAAGTAAATAAAGTAAGAAAAGTAGAAAAAGTAGAAAAAGTAGAAAAAATAAATCAACAAAATTATTTATTAGAAAGAAAAAAGTTAAAAACAAAAGTAGATAGTTCTCCTATTTCTTCTGATTCTTTTGATTCTTCTCTTCATACTTTATCTGAGTCTAAATCCACACAATCTGACTTACTACTTCTACATTCTAAGATCTCAGAATGTTTAGAACATTACTCAGCCCTGTTCACTACTTAGTAGTTTGTCTATAGTATCAAGCAGGGATAGCCTCAGCTGAGTTCACAGCTGAGGACATGGGTCTGTCCTTGTTGAAAGAGAGAGGTTAATGAGGAAATGTTAGTACATATACTCACCCTCTCAGACAACAAGGCTGTGCAAGCTGTACATTCCCTTTAAAACAAGTAACAGTTCATCTAAGAATGTTCTAGGCACTAGCTACAGGTTCCTATCCTCTTAGCTCCCTTCTCAGGATCCTGCCAGATCTGAACAACAGCTCTGATAGATAGTGAATGTACTGGTTTGTACATTAATAAGGCCTTTGTGTAGGAACACTACCTCCCTACTCAACACATTCTACTTCTGATCCTAGTATACAATGTAGACAGAACCCTGAACTGGAATGGTTGGATCACCAAGTTTGTCCAACTATGGATAACCATTCAGGATTATGAGGAAAGTATTGAGTTCAGAGTCACTAACCTTAGAAAGACAGATGTCTTTATTGGATTCAAATGGCTCAAGGCTTACAACCCTACTATTGACTGGTTAGAGTAGACACTTGTGTTTGATCAGTGTTCTAAGTCTTGTAGCTACCTTACACTACTGTTCTGAGTAGATACAGACACTTCTAATGTTACTGACAGTTCTGATGAAGGTGACTAATTGTTCTTCTTCAACTAGGATAGATATGTGGATACATATTCTAGTCAAGACAGAATAGAGTCAATCTAAAGGATATCCAAGATGGAACCAGTCTAGAACCCTCTCAGAACAACTCTACTCTAGAATGTATACAGACCCAGCCTGCTAGATTTTGTCTGAGAGTTCCCCAAAGTCTTCAGTAAAGAGGAATTTAACTAGCTTCCTGAATACTGTCTCTAGGACTATACAATTAAATTGACTAAGAGTTTCCAACCTAAGGATTGTAAAGTCTACCTACTTAACAGAGACAAGCAGGAGGCACTTGATGAGTTCCTTTAGGAAAATCTTTAGAACAGCTAGATCCAACCCTTAAAGTTCTCTATAGCCTCCCCTTTCTTCTTTGTCAAAAAGAAAGATGGGAAGCTCTACTCAGTCTAGGATTATTGTTGTCTTAATGAGAGTACTGTCAAAAACAAGTACCTGCTTCCCCTAATTTAGGAGCTCATTAATAAGACACATACATTCAGGATTTTTACTAAGTTGGACATTTGATAAGAATACAATAATATTTGGATCTGAGACAGAGATGAGTGGAAGGCTGTATTCTAAACCAATTGTAGATTGTACAAACTGACTGTAATGTTCTTTAGACTAACCAACTTGTCTGTAACGTTCTAGTCATTCATGAATCACATCCTTACAGATCTGATTGACTCAGAGCATGTTAGTGTGTATCTGGATAACATTCTAATCTTCACCTAGACAGTCAAGCACTATTACTGACTGATCTGAGCAGTTCTACAACAGCTCTAAGATAATAAACTGTTTCTCTGAGAAGCAAAGTACTCTTTTGCACAGGAGTCAGTAGATTATCTAGGCTTTGTAATTAGTGGAGGCAAGGTCTGTATGGATTCAGTAAAGGTGACTACAGTTCAGAACTGACTGTAACCTTAGAACCTGAAACAGGTCCAAGTGTTCCTTAGGTTTGCAAACTACTACTAATGCTTCATTCAAGGCTTTAGTACCATTACCTAGCCCCTTTACAATCTCACCAGTAAGGATGTTCCTTAGTAATGGGATGATCAGTAGTAGTCTGTGTTTGAGTCCCTTAAGCAGGCCATTACTAGTGAGCCTGTATTAGTAGTTCTGACAGTTGTAGACAAGTTCTGAGTTGAAGCCAATTCTTCCAACTTTGTGAATAGAGTAGTACTGTCCTAGTTTATTGACAGAAAGTAGTGTCCAATAGTGTTCTGATCAGAATCCCTCTCTGTAACAGAACAGAACTACTCTATCTATAACAAGGAACTCCTTACAATTGTCTGTTCCCTAGAAGAGTAGTGTCAATATCTCCTTAGTACTATACAGAAGTTTAAGATTTAGAGTGATCACCTTAATCTCTAGTACTTCTAGGCTTCTCAGAAGCTCAACTACTACCAAGCCTACTAGATGTTAGAACTGTAGGACTTTGACTTTGTACTGACTTACAAACCCAGAACACAAATGATGAAAGCCAATTTACTCTCAAAACAAGTAGGTCATGAAAGGGGGGAGAATGATAATGAAAATCTTATTCTCCTAGACAATTCCTGTTTTGTGTCCAAGACAATCCAAGAGATCTGACTTGAATCCAAGAATGTTGACTTTGTCACTTGTATACAGTAAGCTTTGAGACACACACAGGACTGAATCATAGTAAAGTAACTAGAGAAGCAGGCTAGAGATTGGGAGGAGGATGAGGATGGATAGGTTTACTAGGAAGGCTGACTGTATGTTTTAAAGGATCAGAAACTGTAGGAGGACATTGTCTAAGCTTATTATGACAATCCAATTGTAGGACATCTGGGCTGACACAAAACACAGGAACTCATCACTTGGAACTACTGGTAGCCTAGAATGTAGAGGGAAATCCTGAAGTATGTGACTGGTTACAATATGTGCCAACAGACTAAGGCCCACCAGACAAGGGTTCAGGCTCCCTTACATCTATATTGGATTCTGGATCACTCTTGGGAAGAAGTCTTAGTAGACCTGATTAGTGAGCTACCTAAGTCTTAGGGTTACAACACTATCTGTATGATTGTTGACTGATTCTCTAAGCAAGTCCACACAGTTCCAACCTAAACAGAACTCACTTCTGAAGGTATAGTGTACATTTATCAGAATCATGTCTTCCAGTTGTACAGACTCCCTTAGAAGCTTATTCATGATTGTAAACTGTAATTTGAGTCAAAATTCATACAGGACTTGTATGTGCTTCTCAGAATTCAAGGGAACCCTTCTACTACCTATTACCTGCAGACTGACAGTCAAACTGAGTGAGTCAATCAGGAGATTGAGCTCTACCTCTGAATGTTCATTAATCATTAGTAATCAGATTGGTCTGAATAGCTAGCTCTAGCAGAATTTGTGTACAATAACTAGCAACACTCTGTAACAGGACAGTCCCTGTTCTTTCTCAATCATGAGAGACATCTGTACTAGGGGACAGTTCTGAACCAGAACAGTAGTTCTGAATCTGTAACAGACTTTGTAGAACAGATGTACAGAACTAGGGAGGACACATGAGCTCTTTTGGAAAAGGCAGTACAGGTCATGAAGCAGAACTATAATTGGAAGAGGTCTGTGGTCAAGGATTACTAGTCTGGTGACAAAGTTATACTGAAAGCTATTAACCTGACTATGGATTGCCTAATGAAGAAGTTAGACAACAAGCACTTCAGACCCTTTGTTATTGAAAAGAAGGTTAGTGCCTCTACCTACAAACTCTAACTTCCAGCAACATGGAAGTACATACACCCAGTGTTTAACAAGGTTCTACTGTCTTGATACTATAATCCAGGTTTTCCTTTACAACAAAGACCCCTACTACCTCCACCAGAACTCATCAGTTCTGAACTAGAATACAAAGTAGAGTATGTAGCAGATGCTAAGCTGGTGCACAGAAAACTCAAGTTCCTTATCTACTAGAAGGGATACCCAGTTGAAGAACACACTTGGGAACCTGCTGAGAATCTTACCCATACTGCTAAGACAATCTAAGACTTTTATCAACTTCATCTAGGTGCTCTGCATCAACTCTACTGTTGCCTGTCTGGATTGTGCCACAGACATATGTGATAAAGGGATAAACCTATGTGATTGTGTGAGTTTGATCTCAATCAGAGTCAATCTGCACCTTCTGTCAGCGACAGCGTAGAGGGGACCCGAAGGCTCAGCAAGGGGACCCAGGCTACAACTATCCTACACAACAGAAATACAGGACACAAGCACCAGAATGTAGTCAGAACTTGTGGAACAGGCAGAGAGAGAGAGTGAGACAAGAGTAGAGTATATAGAGTGAGCCTAAGAGTACAGGACTACCTGGAGTAGACAAGATCAAGACTACAGGACCAGTCTGATCTTGTACACCTATATATACTAAACTACACAAGAGCACTCAGGGAGTATGAGCCACTAAGAATGATAAGCTATGAAGAATGAAAGAAAGGAATGTCAAAGATAAAGGTACAAAGAATGAAGGGATGGACAAAGGGTAAGAGACTATAGAATGAACAGAGAATGAAGGAGTGGTCAAAGGAATAGAATGATGAAGTAAGGAAGGGTAGTAGTAGGAGTCAGTATGTATATAGTCCATAGACAGCACCTCTGAGGGACAGAAGTCCTGAGTTCTGGTATGGAAGGGTGCAGAACCCTTAGAACTGAAGGTAAGAGAGTAGAGAATTGTAACATCACCCCCCCTCTAAAACCAATCGTCCTGATTGGTAAACATTGGGCTTGGTTAGTGGCTCAGGCATAAGTCAGAACAGTAGGGTTTGGAAATCTGTGAGGCTGGTTCTTCGGCTGAGGGCGATGCAGATCAAACACAGAAGCCGGAACCAAATACTCAGGATGTAGGCAACGTTCAGCCTTCGATTTTGCCTCCAGAGGTTGTCGCTCCAACGGGCCATGTTGCATTAGTGTTCACGGATGTTCGAAATTCCACGCATCTTTGGGACGCGAATGCTGGTATGCCGATCGCTATACGACTGTACAACCAGGTACTGCGACGGCAACTCCGGTTGTGTGGTGGATACGAGGTGAAGATGAAAGGCGACGCGTTTATGTGTTCGTTCCAGAATGTGTTATCGGCGCTGAGATGGTGCCTGATGGTTCAGCTCGATCTTCTTCGTGCGTCTTGGCCTTTGGAGATCCTTGAATGCGAGGACGGGGAGGAGGTTTATGATGATAAGAATGGAAAGCTGATTAAACGTGGACTTTCTGTACAGATGGGTGTTCATTATGGTATGCCTGTGTGTGAGTCGGAACCGATTACGCATCGGATGGATTATTTTGGGCCGATGGTGAATCGAGCGGCGAGGATTGCTGGGAGTGCGAATGGTGGGGAAATCCTTGCTAGTGCCGATGTTGTGCGTGAGATATATTCGCAAGTGCTGAACGAGACGTACAATCCGTCGAACCCAGAGTCAAAAGCGTTTGATACTACGATAGAAGGAATTGACATTGAAATCATTCCTGTCGGGGAGCGTCCCCTGAAGGGCCTCAAAGAGCCGGAAATACTTTCGCTGGTGTACCCGAAGGAACTCATTGGGCGTTACGAGGCGTCTTCCGCATATCAACTACACACTGACTAGTCGCGGGATAATGGCAATCCTTGATTCACTTTGGAGGGGCGTTGCAAGTGCGTCTCTCCTGATACATCAGGGACATGTTGTTGATAGGCTGCGATTGACGAACAGACATCGTATTAGGTGCTTTCTACGTTACAGTTGTTTTTGCTTTCGGCTTGTATAATAGGCAACACTTCTTTATTGGTGGTGATATACCGGATTTTTTGATGTTTATGTATTATAATCAAATTAGGATAATACATAATTTTTTCTCTGAACCAAATGACAATTTTTTTCAAAAATGTAATATCATAATTTGTAAACCTTATAAGGCATTATGACAAAATTTTACTGTGGACAGTTCCTTCAAACACAAAACAGATAATTTCTTAGGCAACATTTGAGCATTACAACATTTTTGAAATTTTGGTGAAGAAAGGAATACAAGGAAAGTTTGGTTTTAACAGAAATATTATTATAATGTTGAATTATAACTTGCTTCTTTTTTAATGCGTTCACACACTTTAATAATACTTGCCACATAAGAATGCATAATGTAAAAAATTTATTGTGTATACAGTAGAAAATGTCTTATTGCATCACATTATAATGTATAAATAGTATGATGCATAAATTTTTGGCCAGACCAAAACTCAGATTCTCAGCTAAAATGTATTGTCATAATGTATAAATTGTATAATACATTGGGTTTAGTCCTCTCCTGATGTTATACAATAAGACATTTTCAACTGTAGTATAAATTACAGTAAAATGTGTTATAATACATTAAGATTTTCTGTGACAAAATTGTGTTTACCTGCTAAAATTGTATACAATAATGTATAAAGTGTATAATACATTGGATTTGGTCTTCTCCCAACATTATACATTATGACATATTTTACTGTAATTTTTTTTTGTGTGAGTATTAGTTTTTTTTTGTATAATACTACTAGTATAAAGTCTAGCACAACACACACTATGTATGCTCTTATCTATCTCCTAATTTTTAACATTGTATTCAGCCTTTACAACAGTAACTTGGTGAATGCTGCCTACTGTGTTGGCAAGCACATTGATAAAAAGCACTAACACTATACAGCCAGCATTGCTCAGTACTGGATCCAATTTAAAGGTAAGGTATTTAGTAGCCTTTTTTTCATTTTTTTCCTTATTATACTATTTAGCTGGCTTGTATCATCTTGTGAGCCCTTAAATTTCTGTTATTTTTATGAACTGCTCACACAAGACATACTTATTAGTGCTGCCGTAATTGGTATTCTTATTAGGACAATAATAATTACAGCACCGTCTAAACAGAAAAAGGTCCGTTATCTAATTGAAGTAAATATGTACTAGGTATGAAGACTAAAGCCGAAGGTACAGGAAGTGCTCGCTCCAACGGGGCATGTTGTATTAGTATTCACGGATATTCGGAATTCAACGCGTCTCTGGGACACGAATACCGGGATGCGGAGAGCTATGGGACTGCACCATCAATTACTGCGACGACAACTCCGGTTGTGTGGAGGATATGAGGTGAAGACCACAGGCGACGGGTTCATGTGTTCGTTCCAGAACGCCTCATCAGCCATTAAATGGTGCTTGACGGTACAGCTTGATCTTCTTCGTGAGCCTTGGCCGTCGGAGATTCTCGAGTGCGAAGACGGGAAGGAGGTTTTTGATAGGCATGGAACTCTCATCGAGCGAGGTCTTGCGGTACGGGTGGGTATTCATTGTGGTACACCTGTGTGTGAACCAGATCCGGTCACGCGTCGTATGGATTACTTTGGACCGGTGGTGAATCGTGCGGCGAGGATTGCTGGGAGTGCGAATGGTGGGCAGATCCTAGCTAGCGCTGACGTTATGCGCGAGATATATGCTCAGGTGCTAGACACGGCATACGATCACTTGGATTGGTTACCGCGATAGAAGGAATTGATGTGGAGATTGCTTCTGTGGGTGAACGTCGCCTGAAGGGCCTTTTAGAGCCCGAAATCCCTTCGTCGGTGTATCCTAAGGAGCTCATCGGGGGTAGTGAGCTCAATCTTACGGAGAATCCAGATGTGTCTCTCCCACAAAACGTCGAAGAGGTTGATTTCAATTTAACGGCTATCCTCGACTCATTCTCAGCCTACATCGACAAAGTTTTTTCGCTGTCCATGGTAGACACGCCATAGAGGCTGCTTGGTAGCCTGCAACACAAAGAGAGGAGTATCGTGGCATGTGTTTCCTGTATTTATCTTCGAGTCCTGTCTCCTACATCGCCAGCCTGTTTATAAGCAGCTCTTCTGTCCTAGATGCTTTTGTAATGCAATTGTATTGTATTACTCGCCTTCTGATTTCTTATGTACACAATCTGACGCACCTTGATTAAGGCAGATTCTACCTTGATGGAAGATACCGCCTTGATGGAGGTGCATCATGAAAATGCGTAGCCAAGTCGTCTGGACCTCGGCGGCCGGCTGGCGAGTACAAACGCCGATCACTTGCCACATTAGGCGAGGCTGACATGGTTCGCACAAATGAAATCGAAGTTCGAGCGCACTGCATACCACACCTGTCTCCACCTTCCCTCATCTTTCGGCGTCGTCCCCGTTTTATCGAGACGCCCTACAAATGTCGTCCACAATGTCATCAACAGCGTCGACGACGAGCAGTGCTGCTGCGTCTGCTTCGTCCTCTGCTTCAGCCTCGCTCAGTGTCGGATCCAACCTGAAGGTGGGTGGCTATTTAAGACACCCTTATTTATTTAATTTTAACTGACTTGATATCGCATCACCAAGGTCGTTGGTATCATCTTGTGGGCGCTTTGGTTTTTTTTGCTGCTTGAGAGACTGCGCCGCTTACGCTGGGGTTGTTATTTACTAGGGCTATTGCGAGTGGTGTACTTATTGGGTCGAGTTTTGTGTTTAAGAAGAAGGGTCTACTGCGCTCGCAGGCGGGCGGAGTGGCCGGGGAGGGTGTTGCATATCTCAAATCAGTAAGTCGCCTACTTTCAAAGTACTTATCGTGCTTATTGTTTGTCAGCCATTGTGGTGGACAGGGATGATCAGTACGTGTGCACGCGTCAAACGCGACTGACCTCCTAATTGAACTAATTCCGGAATTCAGTGATGATTTTGGGAGAGCTGTGTAATTTTGCTGGTGAGTAGCCATTCTTCGATGCTGGCTGTCTTTTACTTATAATTGTGTGCAGCGTATGCGTTTGTTGAAGCTATCGTCGTCGTACGTTTTTGTCCCTGGCGCGGATATGTCCATATAGCGGAATGTACTCAATTATAATTTCAGACACCACTGGGAGCGCTATCTGTTGTCGTCTGTGCTATCTTATCCTCGTTCTTCCTCAAGGAGAAGCTGTCATTCTTCGGTTGGTTAGGGTGTGGATTGTGTATTGTAAGTGGTCTTACTCCACTTATGCTGACTGCGTGAGAATTACTAACTTGTGCGGAAGATCGGCTCTATCATTATTGCACTCAACGGTGTGTTTGCGTTCACAGCTTATGCCTTAGTCTCTCATGTGTCTCATCTATCATCGCCTCAGGACCGTCCGAGCCCTCCGTGGGCGAGATAAGGGAATTCGAGAAACTGTTCATATCGCCCGGATTCTTAGCATACACAGGGACGCTGATTGCGATATCACTCGCAATTATCTTTTATTTCGCTCCGAGGTCAGTCTTTTAACTTCTGATTTGTCAGGCTAGTCTTTGCTAATTCCGACTAATTCAGATATGGGAAAAAATCTATGTTATGGTATATCATGGTTTGCAGTATGATTGGGGGTATTAGCGTTAGTGTTACGACTGGGCTGGGAGCAGCCATTGTTAGGACAGCACAAGGCGACAGTCAGGTATGGGCCATTGTATTTCCTATTGTCTAAGAGATCTGATAGTGATGCAATGATAGTTTAAATATTGGTTCATTTATTTCTTAATGGTTTTCGTGGCTGTAACATTAAGTTCGTGACTGAGGTTTATTTCTGTTTATTGGTCATTCTAATGATTGATGTAGTCACCGAAGTTTACTATCTCAACGTGGCCTTGGCCCTATTCAATACTGGTACGTTCTAGCTGATTTGATGTAGAATCTGATGTTAATGTACCTCCTTTCTAGCCATGGGTAAATGTCTTAATTAGTTGATTACTTGATATATACTGAAGTTATTTGCAGTCACTCCAACATACTACGTTATCTGTGAGCAGACATGGCTTTAAAGAATCATAGGCGGTTGACTTATAACATTCTTTTAGTCACATTCTTTTCTATGGTTACGACTATCGTACTGTTCAAGGGACTCAAGGCGACGATAGCGCAGATCCTGACTGTCGTACTAGGATTCTTGGTCATCTGTTGCGGAATTACGATTCTGCAGATGTCGAAGATTGACCCAGAGGAACTTGGAAACAGACTTGATCGTCGCTCGACTTTGCTTTTGCAGGCAGCCCGAAGCAACACTGGCAAGATGGACGAGAAGGACCTTTCTGCGCTTGAAGATCCAGGTATCGACTCCATTCGGGGTTCGTTTGGTCCTTTGGGTAGCATGATCCGAGCTCGAAGTGTTCGACGCATGAGTATGTCGAGTCATACCGCTGACTCAATTCGCTCTCGTCGAACCACTGGACTGGAGCCGCACTTTGAGGGTTTGCAACGACATCAGTTGTATGATGCTCCGGTTCCATCATTCAACTCTGATCGTTCTCTACATACACATGCTAGCCACGCGCCGCCGCGAACGCCAACAATCAAATTTGATACGGAAGATGTTGTGCATAAATATCCAACAAAGGGGCTAGGAGCGGACCTGGCGACGCATGAGCGAAGGGAGACGGCCTTCCGGTCTTCTTCTCCGGGTCATATATCAATGACTTCAATGGACCCGATCAGGGAAGAGTCATCGGAAGGTCTTGCAGTACAACAACCTAGACCTCAACATCCGATCCCGGGGTTACCACCAATAGATTCATTTGATAGCACTGCGCCGTTGCGGACAGCACCGGCAACGATGTTTGCGAGTCAGAAGGGCCTACCTCGACAAGATCCATTCGAAACCTCACCGGCGACATCGACTGGGGCAGCCTTCCCTGCAAGCGGGAGCTCGTCTTCGCCATTACCGATGGCGGCGAGATTTTCGCCTACGAGTGATGAAGAAGGGTACATTGCGCGGCGACTTGGACATGGAGGGAGGGGACATAAGAGGACGTCGAGTGATCGGAAGTATCCGAAGGGCGTGGATGATAAGGAGGAGAGTGTCAGTCTTGTGAGGAGTCCGTCGCCTGAGGATAGTTCTGTACCCTCCGATGAGGATGATGTGCAGATGCGAAGTGGGGGAATACGCCTTGTGGGGAGTTCGTCTGGGCGGTTTTGAGTCTTGTTGGGTATACGGGCTTCTAATTTTTTTTTCTTTTGCGTGATTAAACGGGAACTCTTTCACTTTGAAGGAAGGACTATATTTCTATTTCTATCCCTATCTCTACCCCATTTTTTCTACCCTACCCCATCTCGTGTCATCTCACAATCACACGCAGAGACGATATATTCTGTTCTTCTAAACGCGTTCATTCATTATTATTAGTTTTTTTTTCCACTACCACCGAGTTCGTTCTTCACCGATTTTATTCGATTTGTTTGTTTTATTTTTTTCGATGTTAGAAGATATGTATCTATGTATCTATATAATTTGGCAACGAAGCTTGACGTTCACGACACTTCACTTATTTTGCGAGAGAAGTGTTCGTTGTCATTTGCTTACACACGCAATAGTTACTATCTGTGCATCAGGCCATGATCAATGTTTCCATTCTTCATTTCAAATGACATTTGGGCACAATGGTCAAATAAACAACATGGACACGATACGATTGATATTTTGCACCCGAATACGATGGAATCGAAAATATATAGTAGCTAATTTGCTGAAGGGAAACAAATGTCTTGTGCCTTTTGCCAATATTCCAAGAGTAACGTGATAGTAGAGGATCCTTCTGATGCTCTTCGGCTATCCGACCGACTCGCTGTGATCCTGAGCAAGACTTGTATGTCAATATTTATTCTGACGGTATAAGAATCCCACGAAAGCAATTCATTATTTCCTTTCCATAGCATATGTATACAGGGCGATCATACATATGTACAAAGCTTAGTTTCTTTGTAAGTATTTTATCCTCATCTAGGAGAGACGAGAAAGAGGTTATAAAGGAGGTATAAACCGACTTTAGGAAACGAAGGCAAGGCAAGGTTGGACCCTGCTCAAGGATACAAAGACAAATAGAAATATCATGGCAAAAAAGTAAAGAGGAGGAAGAGGAAGAGAGAGCAGTAGTCTTAATATTAATAAACATTCACTTGTTTCGGGATACCCTGCGGGAAGAACTGCTGGAAGAGATTTGGATAGTGACGCTCTGCAACGTCTGGATGACTCCTATAGTGTAGGGTAATTACAGAAGATGTGAATCAATAAGAGGTTGACAAGCGCTGCCGAAAAGAGAGGAACGAACTTGACTCTGCCTATAAGTTCAACCTGGCCTGAAGGAAGCGTTTCGTACTCTGCGTAATTTACGGCTAGAGGGGATAAAGTTGAGTTTTAAAGGCTGTACGATTAGAGATGACGTCAGGCTTACAATCTGTTAAGCCGGTCTCGCCGCGTTCTTCTTTCAGTTTCATGATCTCAGGTGAGACTACACAGATTATATGTTAGTTAGTTTGAGGTCTTAAAGACAAGAGGCCGGTTATAATGAGCAAAGAAGACTTACACTCTGGGATATGTTCCGCGAGTACGACTTTCTGGGTAATCCTTTGGAAGAACGGAACGGAGTAGCGCGGTGTCGAGCCAACAGCAGGGCTCAAAACACGATGACTCGTCGCACGCGCAAGTCCGCGAGTCACCGCTTCCAATCCCTTCCCGAAGTTAATGACGAGAGTATCGGGGAGTGGAGGCGCGTCGATCCAAGCTCCGGAAAGCGATTGGACCTGCAAGCCACGGTGTGGAGACGCCTGAAGTAGCAGCGTGAGGAATCCTGCGTCGAAGTGTGGACCGACACCTTGAGAAGAGTCGTTCTCGGATTTGGGCGACGGGTACTTCACGATTTTGCCGCGGTGCTGGATTTGCTCGCGGTCCTCGAAGAATGCGGAGAGACCGTCTGGAGGAAGACCGAGCGCTTCGGATAGGAGACATGTAAGCTCATAGCTTAGGTCTGCGAGACGGGAGTAATATTCTGTGATGGTAGCTTTGAATCCTGGTATGTCTTTTTCGTCTGGCCACTATAACAAGATGATGCATTAGTCCGCAAATTTATATGCGCATATAGTCAACCGACCTGAGGTTCGCCCTGTAACTTGGTGTACTCAGGTTCGTCCTCTTTGTCGCCTTGGCCCTTGTATTCGGTCGCGAAATCGTACTGTTCACGCTGGTCAGTCGCACCGCGTGTCAGTTCGGCACCAAAACGCGAGTAGCCGAGGAAGCGTGGCGAGTTCGCCATGCGTATACGGTCCTTCTTATCTTGCGGAAGCTCAAAGAGCTTCGGAATATAGTCGATCAGTGACTGGACAAGCGTCTGAGGGACAGGTGGATGCTGGAGGTAGAAGAATCCGACGAAGATGAGAGCATGTCGGAGCTGGTCGATAAAGGACTTGCGCCCTTCCGGAGTTGAGAGGAGAGTATAGTCGAGGATAGGGACACTAGTGAAGTCGTGCTTGGAGACTGCGGAAGGAGACATGACTATAGGTGATACTAGATCGATAGTATGCGAATGTACTACGAGGGTGTAGTTGAGGACGATTGATGTTGTTGAAAGTTATAGGACTAGCAGAGAGCTTTATATGCAGATCGAGTCACGAGAAGCACGACGGATGACGCTATCACGCGCGATTTGGACGGGTTAGACGGGCAAGCAATGAGTTTGAGAGATATCCACCGTGAGCACAATTGCACGAGATAGGTTTGCTCGCAGGACCGTTCTCAAGATGGTGCAAAAATGTTGAACCGTATGCTGCAGTACGAGAGCTCCAGACGACCAGCGTAGTCCTGCGAGACGTCGGTCAAGCGGAAAATCTGTACTCCGATTGAACGTCCAGCTAATGCTTCAAGCCAAATTTGAGTAATAATTCTCAGGCTTCAGTTCCGACGAGTTTTCCGTTGTATTTTTCAGGTCAAAGTTTACCAGCTCATCAGTGTAAGAGATAGGGAGAGTCGAAGTTGTGAGAAGAGTTGACCCTATTGAGATCCGAGTCGGGTAGCCAGATCGCTTCTTACTCAGTGACACTCATGATTTCCTCCCATAAACAGCCACTTGTAACCACAGCATATATTCTATCAATGCCTCGTTATGAGCAATTCTCGCCTCAAAGGGACGTATCAACGTTACTGGTGTCAACCCGCGGTGTGGTGTTTGCTTTAAAGCTTCCATAGGGTACATCTTTCCCACTAATTTTGTTGCTCATGTTCCGATGGATCTTCAAAGTGATATAACTTCTCGTAGATGTGCCACAACGGCGTAACATTTCTCCCGTATTGTGATACATATCAAGTAGGTTCTACTGAAGCCAAGGAGTTCCGATACCAATTCGTTCTTTCTTTCTCGGATTGGAATGATAAGCTACTCATGCGATACGAACAATGTGAATAAAGTGCTTCATCGAGTGTTAAGCACCGGTCCCTCTCGGGACTGCATAAATTGACTTCCGGGAAGCAGACAACGACAGTTCTGTCAAGTTCTAGGAAGTCGAGGGCCAAGGCTCTGCATATCATAAAGCTTCCGCTCCAAGTCTTTCAGGCCACGGGAATCCGTCAGGCAATACTGGGAAAGTGGACTATTCCATACCACATTGCTAAGTTCATTCAGACCTTGAACGAGAAGATGACTGTACTTCCTCGGCTTTACAGCCTCTTTCCATATTGCACCGAGAGACTTAGCCAGTAGCACTCAGTACTGAGTCAGTAGAGTCAATACAATATCTGATTATTCTGATAGTGTAGCTGCGTATTTACATTGTCCTTACTCTGCTATGCTTGATTACTTATCCACAGCCTACACGCCCATGCATGTACATCATAATAATCGTGCTAGTCACTATACTGTAGAATATATCATAATATACAATGTGATAATCAATAAATCTCATGGTGAATTAGAAAACGATCTTCCCTGGAATTATGTCACGGTATTATGATACATTCCACTGTATAGTATATCTGCATTATGCATTGAAAATAGAATTGTAATCTCTTTAGAAGTCCTGCATGATGATGCGTTGGATTTGGTGTGTTGAGACGTATTTTTACAGCATAAGTGATGCACACATGCATAATGTTCTCTCACTCGTTGAATGAGCACTTATCAGTATACATGGCTCGTTGCCTCGAGTGCTGATCCAGTTTTGCTCAATGCACTTTCCAAGCCTGAGGACAGATACGTTACAATAATTATTATAACCAATACAAGAGCAGGTCATAAACAAGGAACTTGTAAGGCCGTGCGGTATAGTCATGTATGGTACAAGTACGAGTACAGTCTAAATACCGTATTCAGAAATAGATGAGATGAGATAAGATGAGATGAAAACAGAGCGTATTAGTGAAAATAAGTAAGCCAATACGAGCCACACTCGAAACAATGTTGACCGGAATTGGGCAACTGTTTTGAAGTAGAGTGGGTTCATGAGAACTTATGGTCTTTTAGGCCATCTCGTTCATATTCGTTGTCCTCGTCAGCTTGTAACGTACTCTCAGACGAGCTGATACGCGAAGATTGTGAACCTGGTGACGCCGAACGGAATGTAGCTTCCTCGTCAGACATGGAGTCGCGCCAGACGTGCACCAGCAAAGCCCTACGCTCCGTCTCAGGATGCGCGCCGCCCCGCAGCAATTCGTGCTCGACATCAAACAGCTCCACATCCTCAGCACGTATCTTTTCCGCTCTACGTGCTCTCCTTCGACACAACCACACACTTCCAACAACACTCGCTACCGTGATCGTAATAATTTTCCACGGCACGAGTAACCATTGGACGACAACACCAAGCGCTTTGATCGCACTTGCATCGCCGCGATGCCAGCTTGCCGCTCCAAGATGGTCAAAGATCGGAGTCGACGAAACTCCTCCAAGCTTGTACTCCCGCGGCAAAACCCGCAGTGTGCTGTGCTTTGCATACGTCGCGTGCATCGTCGAAATGTAATGACATCCAGCCGAGAACCTGGGAAAAAGGAAGGAATAAGGCACATGAGCTATTTTTGTAAAACCAAAACAGGCGCTCGGAGAAGGCGGTTCCGAATGCTCGGCAAGGAATTAAATTTAAAGCATTTTTAGTTCGGCATGGACTTGACCCCTGCTCCAGCTAATCTACCATCATCATCCGTCCCTTGACCGTAACTTAACGTTCGGCCCCAACGGCGCCGAGCGCAGTCTTTTTGGATTACACCAAACGGAGTTGGCATCCACGGGACAGCCTCCCTCGAATAATACGCATTGCTTCTGATTTGTTATAGAATTTAAATTGAAAGACTTACATATCAGTTGCATACAGTGAAATCCAATTCAGGTCAAAGCGTTGTAAGTTATCAATAGCATGTTTGAGGAACGGGTGACCCGGCGCAGCGGCCATGAACGCGTTGTTGATGCCAGTCGGCACGCCGGGAGGCGAGACCCAGTCAACGGTAGTGAAGAAATCGAGTGGGACTTTACATTTTATGTCGAGATCGAGGTAGATGCCGCCCATTTTGTAGAGAATGAGGTAGCGAATGACGTTGGAACGTTGGATCTCTGTGGCAAAGTAAATTATCAGCACTTCAAATTTTTTGGTCTGGTGAAATGAGGATAAAGATACGGACCTTGACCGTAGCCCAGATACATGTCCAGCAGCTCTGGGTAGTTCTCTTCGACAAAAGCGTTCGCGCGTGGGGTGTCCCATAGCTCGAATCGCCACTCTGGCGCGGGGTTTAACGATGCGCAACTTTGATTCGCTTCGCGCCAAGTGTCTTTCATTTCTAGGTCTCCGAGACGTGCCTGGTGGATAATACGCGGAACGAGTTCTGGTGCATCCGGAGGAGGGATGAGATTTTCGAGGTCCCACCCATCGCCATTGCCAAGCACAGCTGTCGGAAGGAAGGTGAAGGCAAAATACGTGTATGCTAGTGTAAAGCCGACAGATATACGGTGCCAGAAGAGGATCAGCACGAGGAGGAACGCGCCGATACGGATGTAGTGTTTTCGTTGGAGCGAGACGGCGAGCATATTGTCCCTTACCGTCCGACACGAGCGAATGGGATAGAGGCTCAGAAAGGAGTAGTAGTGAGGGTGAATGAAAAAGGAATGTTTGTCAAAGGCCGAAATGATTATTTGAGTTACGCTCTTTACGCAGTTGGGTCATCGTCCTGCGTCTCAGCTCGGTCCCTGAACATATAAGGCGGCAAGGCCTGCCGTGACGAGACGCCGGTCAGTGCGGTCGGCCAGCGCTGATTCGCCTATGCTGACGCCAAGTGTAACTCCAGATCGGCCGTTTGCGTTCCACATAACCATTTGGAGATGGACAAGACAACGACGAAAGACCAGTTGCTACCATGATGACTATATCAAAAAGAAAATCTAGCATCATGCCTTCTGCTAGCTTGGTCCATGATACGTATTAGTGCAATCTTCTCAACAGCAAGCTGGTCTCGTTTGTTGCCTGAGGTAGTACCGACGATTCGGCACCGAGGGCATTGTATCATGCCGCAACATTATGATTACGCGCATTCGCGCATTTGAAGCACTAACATTAATGCCAAGACAATAATTGCACCGGCTTACGTATGTTAAATCTGCATGCTGTGCCGCTTTGGTACCTCCTTTTGAATAGATCCAAGGTGCACGCTCCGATGTGGTCGCACATATTGATCCGCATTGCCCGAGCAACACAGGTAAGTGTAACTCGTGCATTTTGAAAAGACGACATCTCTCTCTTCATCTTGACTGTGCCCTAAGCTGTGAAACCAAGGTTTGGAGCATTTCTATTGCTCTTATGGCTTTTGGCGAAATTGAATGCAATTAGTTCATTAGCGGAACAAAAAACACGTGATTCTTACATAATATACTGGGTAAATGTCGACTCGAGACCTTACACAATTTCCCTGTGGCATGAGTTCGGCATGCATCCTGTGTTAACGTATTGGCTTGGGTCGACTTCCATATCGTCCACATCACGCATCGCTTTATAAGCCTCAGTTGTGGACTGATGCTCGCTTGATGAATGCGTAGTGAGCTCGGTTCCAGAAGATGGAATCACGGCAGCAGACGGATTCGTCACGGGAACGGGGACACCGGTCCAGCTGAAGTCGATGAAGGGGTCAATGGGATAGATACCCTCTCGAGTGCTCTGACGCGCAGTACTACGATTTTGACGAATATTCCGACATTGGTCCTTGGAGGCGCACCTGTGCAATGAACATTATGAAAATTGTGTCGTGTCGAGGCGATCCACTGTGATCTGCATTTTACCGGTTTGTCCACACCTTCCAAATTAGGGTTGAGCTGTTTTTCTCACCATCACTGGAACGCGGCGTCCGCTGATATTTATTTTTATTCCTAATTCATGTTCGTCGCAATGTGGCAGACAGCCGTCCTATTATCATAGTCACCGTCGACTCATCGCCTCCTTTCCCGCCGCTAGGGCGCCGCACTCACACTCTCGGTCCTTCTTTTCAACGTTCATCATAGTCTCTGGACGCTTGTGCTCTTGTCTTTGTGTGCTCTTATATCTAGCGTTTGACTTTGCATCACTGAGAGGGAAGGATCGTGGCAATGGGCAACTGTGTCACGGATTGGGTCTTTAGGCGCCAGCGGTTCTGCTGCTGCCTACCTGCACGACTTGGTGCAGCTCTCTTGGCTCTGCTCACCCTTCTCCTCTCTGGACTTCTCATGGTCATACTATGGTTTGAAGTAGCTAGTAAGTCTTGCCCTTTACCCGATCAAGTGGAAGTTGGTGTATTGATGTACACTATGCTCCGCCTTTGATCTGGTGTTAAACAGCAAATTACTTCATGTCTGGGAAGGAGAAGGCGGCGTTCATTGTGGCGGGGCTCCTTGAGACCTTCTTGTTCTTAGCGTCGGTGCTAGGGTGAGTCCTTTCCCCCAACACATTAGCCTGGCTCTGTCCATCGCCAAATGAGTCAATGACGGACTTGTGGCGAGTCTGTCTTGATTTTGCATCTGAGATGAGGTACTTGCCCTTGAGATGTGCAGGGCAAATTCTTGGGATCGGTCAGCGAGGAGACAATCACTATTGTCTTTCTCACCGAGTATCAACTCGTTCTTTGACGTGTGTGTCAATGCCGCAGCACTGAACGCTGTGCTGCGTGACGACTGACGATTTTTCCTATTTGCGGTGGATCGTGGGGAGACTCCAATTATATACCATAATCTTTCCCTTTTCTCTTTCTTATTTCTATCTGTTGCAAGTTCCAAACGTATATTGACGCACTGATCCCAGATTCATCGGCACTCTCGCACGGAAGCAATCCTTTGTCGTAATCTTCGTCTCTTTCCTTTACGTGCATTTCCTTATCAATCTTGGCGTTGCGATATACTTCTTGTGGATGGTTACGCACGCCGCAAATCAAGATATCGTAAAGCTGTGTCAGGAAGGCATACGCAATCAACAGACGCAAGATCAATGCAAGGGCTTGCTGAATATCACGAAGGGCGTATATTGGGGCATTTCGCTTCTAGTATTGGCTGTCGAAGCTTGTAAGTCTTTCATTTCTGTCATTTAATGCAAAGCAATAGCTGACTATGAATTTAATAGATTGTACAATTGTTGTTACTCGTTACGCTAACCAGGTTCGGTACGAGAAGCGTGAAGGCCGGGAATCACGCATAAAACAGAGACAAAGTGCATACGATGCTTTCCATGCTCGGTTCTCGTCCGTTGATGGTGTTTCGCCAATGCACAACAAGCACTATTCGGCACTCAGTCGTGCGAGCTCAGACCTCGAGAACGATAAAGAAGGTCTACTTAATGCACCGCAGGTGACGCCGTTTGACCCATACGCAGCATACGATGCACACCCGCGGGCACACTCGCCATCTACTACGGTGACGCATGAACAAACGGAGAGTAGTGTGGATGAACATTCGGTGGCACGTCACAGACAGCAGGCAGAGAGGCAGCTTACGAGTCTGAGTGAGAATGCGGAGGAGGAATCCCAGCAACAGGAGAGAAGACCGAGCCGGTCTGTTTCACCATTGCCACCGGGTGCTGCCCCTGCTGTGGCTCCTGCAATTCCACACTCCCCACCTCCCTCATATGAATAATTGATGGAACGATGATTGACCATCATCCTGACCCGAGGACGTTTGGCCGGCTGAGGGTTTATTTATCAATCGATGGACCTTTTTCTATTTTAGCACTTGTACTTGGTCATACCTTTATTGGTTTGTTGACTCGCTGTTGTTCTCTCTTGGACTTTGACTTTCTTAATTTCTTGACGATCGATACGATACCATTTGTATCTAGTATTCCTCGACCTCGATGAATTATGAATGATGTTTCTAATGAGTAAATGTAAATTTGTCAAATGCAAGTTGTGCCGATCATTTCGCCTTGATTAGGCAATAGGCTTGATGTGTGCTTGCAAATTCGTCTGTGTCTGCCTCATGCTCACCAGCGCTGGCTCGGTGTGAGCAGCTCAAGCTTGTCTAGATTGGCTCTTACTTCATTACCTGTCACTTGCACAATTGGTGTGCAGAAATAACTGGAGATAGGGCTGCTGTCATCGCATGATATGCCGATTCGGTACCATGCTCAGAGGAAGCACATCATTTACTCGGTGCGTTGGACAGTTACTACTCGTGTTGAGTATAGAGGTGCTGATTGTGTCTTCCTTCCTTTCGATTGTTTTATATGTACCTGTTGACGATGACGTGGATGTGGTGTACTTGTGATGGTACACGTTCCGCTTGCGTATACGGAACGTCGTGATTTTCACGGGTTCAATATTATAACGTCGCACACGACCGACACGACACCATCTCAAACCACGCACCCAACCTCTCCTCACTATACCGAAATTCTCATCTCGTCTCATCGCACCTACATATATATACGTACACAGCTTGACGCACTCCTCTACGAACTCCACGCCCTCTCCTTCCTCCTCGCGCCAAGCGTACTCGTCCTCCTCTGTCGATGTACGACACAATTCCAGTTCGCGAGGGTGCGTGAGTTGGATGGGAGGAGGCCGTTGGCGTTTTGGCTTGCGCTTGTGTTGTTGGTTAATGTTGGTGGGGTATGGGCGCATGCGTCGATTGCTGAAGGAGAGGGAGGGAAGGGGATCGTGCTTGATTTCGTTGGGATGGGTGAGTTGTTTCGTTTCTGCTCTACGAGTTTGGCTTTGGGTACGTTTTTGGACTGCTTGGAGGTTGTTGACTTATTTTATTTGCTATTTTATACTCGATACAGGACGAAGACCGTCTAAAACCCAACTATTATTACTCGACGCTACGATTATGTTCCTCCAAGCAATCCTTACTACGATTGCATACGAGACGTCACTCGCGCTCGCGATGCCAGCTGACGTTGTGGACCCCTTGTTCCCTGCTGCGACGGATTCCTCCGCGCCGCCTTCACCGATTATCCTCCCGGAACCGAGGACTTCAGAAACAGCGGCGTTCTTACCGTACTCTTCGGCGGTTGTCAGTGCAGACGCATCGATGACATACCCACCAACTCGTCCACCAATCCCCTCGTCATCTTCTCCATCCTTTGAATCGTCAACGAAAGCATCTATGGATCCAGTACCACCCTCGATACCCATAATCAACCTTTCATTACGACATATCATCCACCGACTAACCTCGCCTGTTCCTACACCTCCACCCCGCACGGATGGGTTAGATGGGGAAGATGACGAGTTGGGTGTTTTGAGGTTGCCGTTACCGAATACGACGTCTGTGAGGGTTGCGCATACGTTGAGGATACTTCAGCAGGCGAGGGCGAGGAGGAGGGAGAGGGAGAGGCAGGAGGCGAGGAGGCCGAGGGGGAATGCGAGTAGGGGTAGTGGAGATGGTGTAGCTGGTGGAAGTGCAAATGCGAATGGGAGAGGGAGAGGAAGGAGGATACCCGGTGCGATTGTCGAAGAGGAGGATGAGGGAGAGTAGTCTTGTACATGATGGGTTCTACTGCATAAATTATATCCCCTCTCGTTTGGTATGCTTTGCTATCCTTCGTTGGTTGATTGGTTTCCGCATTTTGTTTTTTTCTTCTTCTACCATCGCTCTCGTGTCACACTCCTCCTGCTGTAGTTGTATCGATACGTATATAAGTAAGAATGCGATATTTAATTTTCTATGACATGCAACATCACTCACGTATAAACGATTTGGATTTTGGTTGAGTTCACCATTTCCTCTTCATCTGCATATCCATACAAGACACATTAGCACCCACAACAAAACCTCTCTCCAAATCGAGAAAAAGGTAAAGAAAGAACATACCACATCCCTCAAACACCTCCCAAACAGCTCAAACTCAGCTTTACACGCGTCCTTCTTAACGTCAGTATACGTCGCGAGTATACATTTCCCGTACGCGCTAGCCTGGGCTGCGCATGTTGTCGTTGAGTGGAATGCGAGTCGTTTGAGTGGGGTTGAGAGGTGGGAAGTTGGTTGAGTGGAGGACATTTGAAAGTTTAAGTGGTGTTGCTTAAAGAGGAGATAGAACTTAGAAGAAAGGTAGGTTCTGCTTGACTGACTCAGTGACTGACTGACTGATGGATGGATGGAATTATTTGGAGGATGAATGACACGTGACTATTTGAAGTCGTCACGCGCCTTGGTATATTTTGAAATTAAAAGAAGTACAAATCATTCATACTTACATACCATTTCACACACGAGGCATAACTTCTGGCGAGATATTCAAAAAAAAGAGAAGCAAATGTTAACGTGCATGCAGTTTGACAGGAGCGGGTCATCTGTCCACAGGGTTGGATGTAGAGCGGCTAGAATGGTGTAATGGTGTCATTGTGTTATTGCTTGCGTCGTGTTGGCACATTCAATGATTCATGAATCATAAGGCCTGATTTTTTTGTTTTTCTTGTTCGGCTCTCAATGGTTCTCTTGCACATTTAACGCTTGCTTGATAGATTTCACCTCCATGGATGGATTGGAATGGTTGTTTCATGAAACAATACCTATACAATAAATAATACTAACATCGGCAATGAGGGGCAGGGGCATTGGATGAGCTCGAATATTTGTTTGCATTCCAGTATACCACCCAGACCGAAAGGGGCGGGGCCGCATCTGGCATGGCATTGTTCCGTACTACTCATGAGCTTCTCATGCCCAATACCGACATTTAGTTTGCGTAAAAGGTCCACTATGATATGAATTCATACGTCTATCTATTGGCATGCGGCTCCAAATCGTATTTATGGATACTGCGGATCCGAAAATAGACCATTCAGGCAAGGCTCAGTTTATTCGTGTGCCAGAAATATCAGACCCTGAATGAACACCTTTACCTGAACAGGGAGAATAACCGAGCGCCCATCAGATCGATTTATCGAAATCCGGTTCCCGTTCGAGAATCGACCCGCCAAAATTTGCGGTTGTGATGGCGTCGATCGACGGCCTGACGGCAAAAGTTTGGTCTTGGTATTCCTTGGGTTGTGTCCTCGATGGTCTTGTCCTGTCTTGACGGTGGCTCAAGCGATATTTTTAGATCACCGCGTTCGAAGTTCGCTATAATGTGGCATCTAGCGTTGTCCCAAGCTGCAGAGAGGATTCTCATACACGATAGGATGATTTCCGGGATCAGTCGTATCAGTTGTGAAAAAGGAAGCTTACAAACTCCGCTCAGAAGAGCGTTGTTCCCGATGGCGGAATCGGGCTTCTATTATAAACTCTCCAGCCAAACAGCTCGATTCATGTATTGCCCTGTTTTGCCCCCTTGTACCGTTACTCGCTCGCCGTCACCTCCTTCCTTCTTTCCTTCTTCCATCGTCTGAAAGGAGCGCTCTCCTTTCCCTGCTCTGATGTTTGGCCGTCGAGCACTCCCCGCTGTGTTCTCTGCTGCTCTCCTTTTCTTGCACAATGTCTCCGCTGAAGTGACGATATACGCTCAGTTCGGTGTGCCGCCTGGTGCACAACCGACGCCCTGCATCGGCGCAGTACCATGCGACGGGAACGTCCTACAAGTAATTGGTCCTCAAAATCAAAATATTACCAACACGATATCAGTCCAGCTCTTCAGTGGAGGGATGAGCGGGCTTTCGATGGGCATTGCTGGGCATTTCTTTGGTTTTTCGCTCGAGTTGTCGGTCGTGAATCACCTGCGTACGTCCAAATTGCTTCCTTATCTTCCCTTCCTACGCATTGTTCCGAAAGCGGGTTAATTTCAAATATACTAATTCTATTTTTATCCGTAGTTGGGAGTAATCCTGATCTGATAGACCCGATATTTATGAACCTTATGTCCACCGTTATTTCGAGGTCACAGAAGCTATTCCTGCGAGTAGGTGGTAATTCCCAGGAGCAGTCGGTTGTTATTCCTGATGGATTACCGGATGGTGCTATGATTGAGAAAGGTGCTATCGGAAGCTCAAGGGTTGGTATCTTCTATTGTGTTTACGACTTCCGGATGGGAAAAATTAACATTTTTTTTCTTTCTGTTTACCCTTAGACCGGTACACCGGCACTTCTCATATCGCCTTCGCTCATCTATACTATGTCGAATATCTCGACTTTCTTACCGACGGTTTCGTGGTTCATCGGCACGCCATTTAACGACACTCAAAATCCGCGAATGTTAATTACGGAGCTCGCACAGCAAGTATTGGGCGACAAGCTTATTGGCGTTCAACTCGGTAACGAACCGGATTTGTACTTCCAAAACGGCATTCGTGGTTCAGACTACAACCCAACCCAGTACAACTCAGATTGGGGCACCGTGCTGAACGACTTTTTGGCGAATCCAAGTATTAAAAACACGACACAGTTCATTGCTCCTAGCGTGTGCTGCGGAGGCAACATTGGATGGACACCCGAACAAGTTTGGAATACCGGTTTCCTGGACCAGTATAAAGATCACCTTGGATACATTGCCGTACAACAGTGAGGACTTCGAATTTCTTTCCGCAGCATTTACGTCTAAATGTCATATAATATCTCACGTTAGTTACCCCTCGGACAACTGTAACGGATCAGTACACAACGACCCAAATCAGCAGCTCCCTGCTATCTATCTCAACCACAATGCAGTCCAAGGTCAGAACCAGGCATACGTCAATAGTACGACTATCGCACAGGGTCTTGGGAAACCTTTCCTTTTGTTTGAGACGAATACGGCGTCTTGTGGTGGGTTCTCGGGATTGAGTGATTCGTTCGCTGCTGCGCTTTGGGCGGTTGATTATTCGTTTAATATGGCGATGGGGAATGTTTCGCATTCGTTCTTCCATGTTGGTGGACAGAGTAACTACTACAACGTACGTATTTCCTCAAGTACTCTTTCCACACCGGGATTTGGGGTTCTGGATCCGGGAATTTGTTGTCCGCAATTAGTGCCTGAAGGCAACGCAGGCACCAAGCCCAAGCTGATACCCGGTGGTTTTTTTTGGGCCTTTTACTTATTTGCTGCTTCCTTTTTCTATAGCCATTCACACCTCCCGCAACGAACCAAACTCGGTTCCGACAATGGACGATCGGATCGACGTTCTACTCCGCGATCGTCATGGCCGAAGCCCTCGGGACGAGCGGGGCCGCACAAGTCGTCGACTTATTCCTCAATAACAACGCGGCGCTTACGCCTGGATATGTCGTTTACGAACAAGGCAACCCTGCACGTGTGGTGTTGATGAACTTCATTACGGACCCGACTGGTTCGGCGAATTATACGGCGTATATTAGTGTTGGAGGGAACTCGACGGGTCAGCCGAATGCTACTCCTGCGAGTGTCCAAGTCAAGTGAGTTTGTTATGCTCCTGCTTTAAGACCGTGGGTGAAGAGTTGAGCTGATGGTGCGATGCCAATTTTTAGATACTTGCTTTCTGACTCTGTGGCTGAGAAGTGGAATATTACATGGGCTGGACAGGTAAGCAACAAGCCCCTCATTACCCCCACCCAATCGTAAGCAGAACCGATTTTGACGGCTCTCCTAATTTTCTATAGACCTTTGGTGGACCCTTCGCGTCTGACGGCCGCCTAACTGGGACTGAACAAATTTACACTTATGCGTGTGATCAGACGAATAATGTCTGTCCTGTACCTGTCCCGGCGCCCGGTCTTGCGCTTGTGTTTTTGAACTCGGATGCGTTGAGTGAGTCGGAGCCTACTACGACGCAGACTTTTGCGACTACTACTACGGCGGTGCGTGTCCTATTCTCGTCTAGTCTTGCTTTAAAATAACTTTGTATTGATTGGATGGATTTTTTTTCTTTTAATTAGACTGGTCCAGCGAATACAGCAACGATCGACCAAGTGGTATTAGCCACTTCGAACGGGCGAGGTGGAGGTAAATGGAACTCACTTGGATCTACGAGTTGGGGAAGCTCGAATGACGCGCGGAAGTCGGTGGCGGTGCTTGCTTCGTCGACTGTTTTGCTTGGTGCGTTGGGATGTATTGCGATGTTTGTCAGTTCTATGTGGAGGTGATATGAGTGAGTGAGGAGAGCTGAAAGAGGGGAGTTGTAGAGACTTTATTCTTCATTTCCAGGTGGACTCTGAAGGGACAGTGATGCTACTGACTTTGATAGTCGTTCGCTCTTTATCTCCTTTTGCTTGGCTGTGAGTGTAGGTTAGATGTATAGAGTTAATATTAATATTGTATACCCCATCGTCTTCGCGGGACGGAATATGCTGTAAATACCTGTTGCGGAAATGTAATAAAAATTGGAAAGCAAGGTGAGATCCTTGAAAATCGGTCATGTGACTTCTTTTGGTCATGAATAGATTTCTTGAATGAAGCCTTTTCGGAAACCATCATGTCAAGTTATGATAAATATCTGGCACTGACTCTGGCTTTTTTTTATCAACGTAAATTACTTGGAGATATCTACACGATCTGCAATAATATGCTCTGAGAAGAAAATGCTGATGGAGAGACTTGTGCTACATGTACGAAAGCCGTAAAAAGCGGACTCGGACTTTGGCTAGCTATCTGGATATCCAGCGTATAAACCATGTCGACCTCTACGGATCCCCAACTTTACTTGTGCTACCCCCGCTCTTTGTCTTCCTTCCTTCCCTTTCCTTCTGGAGACTGTATACCTTAGACTCTTAGGTCTTGTCCAACCTGATGCTTCTTCACTCGAAAACATTCCTTGCTTTCCTCTCCACCTTCACCTTCCTCATCCACCTCTCAAAAGCACAAGTAACGATCTACGCAGAGTTTGGCGTCCCCATCGGCGAACAGCCCCCACCTTGTATCGGTGCAGTACCATGCGACGGGAGGGTTTTAGAACCTATTGGACCTGAGAACAAGACTATCTTGCCTGAAAACAAGACTATCGGAGCTGAGAACAAGTCTAACAAGACTATTACGAATGAGAATGAGAATAACACTGTGGAGAATATCATACCGGTACAGTTGTATAGTGGGTATATGGAGGGTTTGTCGATGGGTGTTCCGGGACATTTTTTTGGGTTTTCGTTGGAGTTGAGTGTTGTTAATCGACTGCGTGAGTTATTTTTTTCTGCGGTACCGCCGTTGACTTGGTGGCTGAAATTTATATGTGACTTACTTTTGCTCTATGGGATGAGCAGTTGGTGTCAATCCTGCGCAGATAGATCCGATATTTATGAACTTCATGTCTACTGTCATTTCGAGGTCGGAAAATCTCTTCTTGCGAGTGGGTGGGAATACGCAGGAGCAGTCTGTTCTCGTTCCGCAAGGATTGGAGAAAGGGGCTATGATCGAGAAAGGGGCGGATGATAATTCGAGGGTAAGTAACTTGTACCATACCTAATTCTCACTCGTTCTTGGGATCGACCATTACTAACTGGCAACTACCTAGACTAACACACCCGCACTTCTCATATCTCCTTCGATGATCTACACCATGGCCAATATATCAAGCTTCCTACCGACAATCCGATGGTTCCTCGGTGCACCATTCAACGATACTCAAAGTCCTCGAATGGAAATGGCTGAACTAGGTCAACAAGTCCTAGGCGACAAGCTTATAGGCCTGCAACTCGGGAACGAACCAGACTTGTACTTCCAAAACGGTCTACGCGATCCGACTTATAACACTACGCAATATGACGCGGACTGGGGTGAGATATTGAATGATTACGTGCAGAACCCGAATATCAAGAATAATTCGATGTTCCTTGCGCCGAGTGTATGTTGTGGGTATACTATTGGGTGGACGATGGAGCAGGTTTGGGAGACGGGGTTTTTGGATCATTATAAAGATCATTTGGCATATATCTCTGCGCAGCAGTAAGTTGCTCAACTTTCTTTTACATACACAAGCCTCATTAATTTTTATATTCATGCTTATTATTGTGTAGCTACCCTGCGGACAACTGCAACGGCTCGGCACATTACGATCCACAGATTTTCTTACCAACGATATATCTCAACCATCATATGATCCAGAAAGAAAGCCATGGATATCTAAATAGTACAACGATTGCGCAGAGTCTTGGGAAACCGTTCTTGCTGTTCGAGACGAATACGGCGTCGTGCGGTGGTTATTCCGGTTTGAGCGACTCGTTTGCTGCTTCGCTGTGGGCGGTTGATTATGCGCTCACTTTCGCATACGGAAATGTTTCTCATGCGTTGTTCCATGTTGGTGGGGAAAGCGATTATTATAATGTGCGTATTCTGGGCATTTGTTTCCGTAGTCTTATATATCAAGGCTAACTTCTTCTTTATTTACTTTCACTTGCGTTTCTCTTCAAAGCCCTTCACGCCACCCACAACCAACCAAACTCGTTTCCGACAATGGACAGCCGGGTCAACCTTCTACGCTGCACTCGTCGTCGCAGAGGCACTCGGAACAACAGGTACCGCACGTGTCGTAGACCTCTTCATGAATAACAACTCCGAAATCACTCCCGGATTCGTTATTTTCGAGGATTCTGAACCTGCGCGTGTGGTGTTGATGAATTTTCTTACGGACACTAGTGGTGCGTCGAATTATACGGCGTATGTTAGTGTTGGAGGGAAGTTGGCTGGGCAGCCGAATGCTACGCCTGCTAGTGTTCAGGTCAAGTGAGTTACGATGTTTTGAAGAAAAGTATATGATTCTTGAAATGTGGACTTACATATTCCTTCTAGATATCTGCTGTCTGACTCCGTATCCGAAAAGTTCAATATTACGTGGGCTGGTCAAGTACGTTCTTACTCACTTTCTATCCACCCGATCTCTCTCACACACAACTGATCTTAATGGATCAAAACATTAATTAAACTGAAAACTGGTATCTACGTTATAGACTTTCGGCGGCCCGTTCGAATCAGACGGCCGCCTCCGCGGTGAAGAAATTATCTACACATACGCATGCGACCAAGCAAACAACATCTGTGCCATACCCGTCCCGGCGCCCGGCCTTGCACTTGTCTTCCTAAACTCGGATGCAACGAGTGAGTCAGCGCCGAAGACGACGCAGACTTTCGCTACGACTACTACTGCTGTATGTTCTTCCTTTTCGTATCCTATTCTTTCCATTGCAAAGATGTTTCTTGTTAACTGACTGGTTCTTTTCGTGTTTTGATTTTTCTTTCTGTCTGTATGCGAATAGACTGGAGCTCCGAACACTGCAACGGTTGCTCAAGTTATTTTGGCGACGTCGAACGGGCGTGGAGGCGGGAAGTGGACTGGCTTCGGAGCAACGAGCTGGGGAAGTGCATCAAATGGCGCCCTTGGTAATTCCGCATTGCTATCATCCGCTACTACCATGCTTCTGGGTGTATTCATCGTTGCAATTGCCATCCTTGCTAGTGCTTCACTCGGCTAGGCTCGTCTGTATGTTGTAGAAGGATGATTTGGTACTTTGGAAACATGGAATATAGTTCTTACATAGAACGGAATTCTTTCTCTATCTGCATGTGTATCATTTATTTGTTTGGTTTGTTTCGAGGTCGGATAAAGCTGGCGGGGTAGAAATTAAAATATGTGCGTGTATACATGATTATCAGTTTTCAGCAACCACAGCAATACCTGAGCTAAGAGAAGAAACGAGAAAATCAGCATGGTAGTAGAAGGGAAACGGAAGTTATAGTGCTGAGCAAGCAGTAACAGGCTAACAGCAACAGAAAGAAAGTGGAGGACAGTCTGAAAAGAAAATCAAAGTATATATTTGAGAAAAGACACTCAAAAAGCTAGTTTTTCATCAGCGTTAAAGAGATGTCACCCGAGAGGAAAGTCAACCGTAACACAGAAAGTACTTGGTACAATGTTTATTCATCAATTATATCTCTGCATTGCAGGCTATCAAGTAGCATCTGTAGCATGTCACTGATACATAAGGGAGAACAGACTTGCAGTGCTTCTCCAGAGTGAATCGTGGATAGCCATTAATCCGAGATCAGGATTTCGGGTATCTGTAAACACCGATGCAACATGATCCGTCAAGGTGAGAGCCTTTGGGGGCAGTCTTGAGGGCGGAACACAGTCTATATCCTATGAAACTATGCACTTAATACACGTCCTCAGCTAAAGAACAAACCGTTGCCCACCTCGTCTGTACCGTAAACAAAGCATGTGTGCAATATTTTAGTACTCTGTTGTCTCCAAGGCTTTATTTGGTACAGATTTTAGTGTCCGTAATAAGTTGTGATTGAGGGATTTGTATCCGTGTGGCCTGTAGATCAGGGACCATTCAGGGATCATCCAAAACAAGGTCGTGAGAACTCGGGACTCTTACTCAAAGCGAAACTTTTTCAGTTTCAGAAATGCCAGGCTAGGCTAAATATCTGGTTCTGTTCCTACTCAACAGGGAATACTCGGAGTGCTCTGCAAGATCGTGTCTACGAGACCACGCTCCCAAAGAAGACTTATGCTACATGCACGAAAACCGCAAAAAAGCAGACTCGGACTTTGGCTAGCCATCTGGGTACCCAGCATCGTCGATTCCAGCGTATAAACTCTATGGCTCCCCAGCAGTAACTAACTGTATTATTCTCTACCCTTTATCTATACTTCCTTCTTCCAACAGGAAACCTCAGACTTTATACAACCTGATGCTGCTTCAAATACAAACGCGCTTTGCCTTTATCTCTTCTCTTGTTTCTCATCCATATGTCAAAGGCGCAAGTGGCCCATCTATGTTGAATTCGGCGTACCGATTGGCGAGTAGGCACCACCATGCGTCTGTTCAGTGCCGTGCAATGTGAGGGTTCTAGATTCTATCGAGCTTGAGAACAAGACTATTTCGAATGCCATGCCTGTACAGTTGTATAGTGGACATAATCTTACCTCTTACCTCTCCCGACCACACTCTCCATGGTTATTTAAGCGTCATCTTGTTCTCCGCCTGTATCCTACCTCTTCTCCTCTCCCTCTCGCCCATTGTCACCTAGTTGACGAGGCTTAGCAGTTAAAAAACCAACAGCTTCTGCAGAGCCGGCACGTCCAACTCAGGATTGTTGCTTCTCGAGCCGGCTCGAGTATTCCGTATACACTTCTAGTATTGCCCATCCGGCCACAACTTGTATCACTTTTGTCACATATTCATCACACCGTCTTTTCCCGTGCATCTTACAACCTCCCGCTTCTTACCTCAGTCTGCTCCCTCCACAATGTCATCCATAACATTGGACCTTGTTGCCCTTGCCCACTATAAGTTGCGTTTAGCGAACACTGGCGGGATGAAGGACAATCTCAGCCTCCGCCGCTTGGTGCTACTTAGAAACTCTATCACCGCCCATGATAGACAATCTGATCTAACTGTGCAAAACGCAGCGTCGCAGGCAGACGCTGCGGAAACATCTAGTGAGGTCGACATTGATTTGGAAGACGAGGTGGACTCGAACTTAGACTGCGATAAGTTCATGTTTCCAGACCCCGGAGATGACGGAGGGGCACATTCTGATCTAACAACACAAAACGCAGCGTCGCGGGCAGACGCCGCGGACTCATCTAGTGAGGTCGACACCGCTTTTGAAGACGAGGTGAACTCGAGATTAGACAGTGTTAAGTACACGTTTCCAGACCCCGAAGACGATGTGGGGACACCTGAGATGTCTGAAGAGCAATGGCTCGACTCCCTCCTTGAGAATCTTGGCGATGAAGACAGCGAGGATGAGGATGATGCTCGTATCTCGCCAGTGAGAACTGATGACACCACCGCTAAGCAGCTCAATATCCACCCTCGTGCAGACATCGAGTCTCTCCGCACGTCCTTATCCGATGAGCTCGCCATGCCGGATCCCATCACTGTTCCACATCCTGAACCATATCCCCCGCTCACCTATCCCTTTGAACATGACTCCCACGACTGCTGCTCCGCTTCTGATATGGAAGACTCAGAGGGCTCTGTTCCGGATGCCATTGAGGATACATCTGACAACGAGTCCGAATCAATTGCTACACCATTCTCTCGTTCCCGTGTGTCTCTCAGCCTCGTAGATCCCGCATCCATCACCCTTCCTCAAGACCAAAACGAGGCCCACATCTACGACAGCTCGAATGTATTCTACCCCCATGGAGAGGATCCATTCACACATTCGGACGCTCACTCTAGTTCTGCCCCAATCCATAGCCCCTACCATCAAGGCTGTTGATGTTTATTCGCCTTTTCGCTTGTCTCCTAATCCCACTGCTGTGTAGTTGTAGATCTATGGCTCATCCTATATTGGTTGTATATCTCCACGATCGTTTCACTTTCTAGCCTTTTTCTTTTCCAGCCAGTCGGCTTTACAATCATGTACCATTCCTTGCACCTCCCTGACTCCTTACATTCCCTCGTTCCACTTTCTCACATTTATTGCATTTTCGTTTTTCAAGTCATTTGCTTTTGCAATCATGAACCAGTCCTTCCACCTCCTCCACTCCTTGCACTCTCTCGTTTCACTTTCTCACTTTCTTTACCTTTTCTTCTCTTCCAGTCATTTGTCTTTGTACGGATCACTTCTTGCACATCCTCCATTCTTTGCACAATCAACCCTCTATCTCCTCCATAACTGTTTCTTAGCAGTAAAACTTGTAGATACTACTATAGATAGTAAAATACAATACCAAAGGCTTTTTGTAAAGTTATAAGCAATATTCATTGAGTTATACATTAAATGCTTTAAAAGTAGTAGTAAGTCTTATTAATTCAATTTATTATTATTATTGCAGAAATAAAAGCCCATCTTACCCAGCTAAATAGCAGATAAATTGAAAACTGATACCTTCATTATAGACATCTGGCAACCTGTTTGAATCAGACAGCTAACTTTGCAGAGAAGAAATAATCTACACATATGCATACCACCAAGCAATCAATGTCTGTACTACACCTGTCCCAGCACCTGGCCTTGCACTTGTCTTCCTCAACTCAGATGTCATGAGTGAGTTAGTACTGAAAGCAACAGAGATGTTTGCCATGACTGCTATTACTGTATGTTTGTCCATCTTTGTGTTATCCATTTTTGCAAGGATGTTCCTTGTTTACTGGCCAATTCTCCTTGTTTTCAAATGTCTGTATGTTCATGTGTAGACTGGGTCTCTGAACACTGCAACAGTTGACCAACTAGTTTTGAAAACTGACAGTGTTGAACAGACATATAGTAGATTTGAAAACTGACAGTGTTGAACAGACATATAGTAGAAAATGGACTAGATTTAGAGCAATGTGTACTAATACAACTGTTAGTATCTCTGTTAGTATTAGAGTATTAAAGCAGAAATTGGTATACAAGAGTTTACATATACACATAATAAACTTGAGCAAAATAATCAATTAATTGATAAAAAGAACTAAGGGTCACCAGTTATACAAGGTAAAAATAAAGAAAAACAAAATGATAAAGTCATTACAAGTTAAGACTTGTAGGTTCCAAAGATTGGTTAAGTGGCCTTAACGCGGGGTGGACACACGGAATGCCCTAGTAAAAGGCGAGGGCATTGGTTAGTTGTGGCCACCCCAGCCACAATTAATAGTGTGGGAACGTAGACGTTACGGAGTCGGATTTGCTTTTTTGTGAGTCGCCGGGGGAACTCGCGTTGCCTGAATTTAAAGATTACTGTCATTTGAAATTGTCAATACAAATGAGCAATACTCTAAAGTAGGAAATTATATTAATTTTATCTATGTCTCCATACTCTCCCAATCTAATCCTAACAAACTACTAGTACTAGTTGTACTCTGGAAGTCTCCATTAGCAGAAGGGACACTCCTAACAGCAGCCTCAACGGCCTGAGCTAATTCTCTCAACGCACGCATATCATCTTCGTTCGTCTCGATACCCGCCTCACCCTCTCCTTCTCTTCTGTTAGTCATGGAAGCTGGAGATGTTGGGTAGGCCGGCATAGAAGACGAGTTGGCGGGAAGAGAGAGGGAGAAAGATGCTTGACCAGGAGCGACGCCTAGAACGCGCTCGAGTGCTCGTTCACGTGGAGGTCCGCGGAGCGCGTCGAGTTTCTGGAGAAGGGTGGGGAGGGACTGGTGTGCGGAGAGAGTTCGGCGGATTGCTGGAGAGCGGGCTGTGTCAAAAGAAAAGGAACAATAGCTCAGTTAGCTCATACTTAAAATGCTTGTATGCATATTCGAATACGGAAAAATGAAGGAAAGAGGATAGGAAACGCACCGATAGCTTCGTACTGCGCAAGTGACAGCGGTTTAGGGTCGTCCCGCTCTAATGGGTCAGGGTAGGACGATGTATCGGGTATGTAAGGCCATTTGAGCGAGCTTAGTTTGCGCAAGGGACGATTACTTGAGATAGGTTCTGAGTCGAGGTCGGGACTCGGGGGCTCGTTTGGCTGCGGTTGACTTTGACTCGAAGTAGGAGTGGGAGTTGGAGGACGAGGATTGACATGACTCGAATCTAGTTTGGTGCTTTCGCTGCTGGTTTTAGGAGAATTGAGATTGGGAGCGATACTGGTATCGGGAGCAGCATTGGCTTCGCATATGTCCATACTCTGCCCCACCTCCTCTTTCTCCACATCTCCCACTTTGCCATCGACCTCAGTTGATACGCGCCCCGCCTCCACATCCTCATCCATAATCGCTTCTGTGCGGGAGCCCCCCACATCGAGTCTCCCGAGCAAGTCCGAGTCTGTTCCTTGCCTCATTTGAGCTGTGGACCTATGAGCCATGGACCCATGAGCCATGGACCCAGGGACCGCAGACTCTCGAGATGCAGATACGGAGCCGGATGCATCGCCTTCGTCCGATGCCAATAACCTTGGCACAGACTCCAAAGTGTTTGAAGCGCTTTTAGGCCCGTCGTCGTTATGTGGTGATGACTCGACTTGCGCTGGTGTCTCAATGGCATTGCCATTACCAGCAGCGCTGGTAGCATTCGAGTTTGCACTGCATGACGAGCCTGTAGGTTAATTGGGATATGCAGGCAGGGTTGTATGATATGTGGAATATGTAGGATATGTGCAAATTTTGTCAGATCTGCGGCGAAATGCGACGGAAACGGGATAAGTGAGAAAGTGAGAAACGTTACCTTTATGTCGTTTGTAACACGCAACGGAACAACTGCGGGTCGTGTGCATGTGCGAGTGCGAAGTACCCGTACGTTGACATCGAGTGCGTTAAGGGAATGACGGCAAGCCAATCAAAAATTTGAATCCGATCCGGTGGAGAACGGAGAATTATCATCAGCCGAATGCAACAAAAGATGAAAGGAAAGAGTTTCAAACCAAGTGGAATATCGAGATAACGAAAAAGAGACGCACGTACTACAAAACCTCACAACCCGGACAAGCGTATTTTGATTCCACCTCTTCGCAGATCTGGCAATTTGCTCGTCGTCTTTTCTGTTGTTGTTTTTGTCGCGGTGCCATTGAGATTTGCCCGTTGTTAGCTTAGTCCTAGTGCCTTTCGTGGATGAATAATGGAATTTTATGCGCGGGAGAGCAAACAAGAGGTCGGTGGTAAAGTAGTCCCGAGAACGGATGGATGGATGAGAGACGGAAATGAAATAGGCATGATGCACCGACACGCACGCAGGACGCGTGCGTGCCACTACTATGATCTTGATTCCTTATCTTGGACGTAGATAATGTAGTATAACGATTCCTTGTTACTTTAAGATGCATTAATTAATAAATATCAAGCGCTCAAGCAGATCATACAGCCCTGGTAACTACCAAAGCACTGATTGATGTGTGTATACACGTCCCCACAAGATGTGTAGATCACAGGCAGCATTGAGACGACAAAAATGTTGTCATTAATTTGAAATCAATCCCTTTACACAAATCAAAATCAGTCTCAATTTCGCTGTAATATGTATTACCAATATGTAGAGGGAAGTCTCATCATTATCTTCATCAAAATCTGTAGTGTGGTGTCCAACGCCAGTATAACAGTGCAAGCAATCAAACACAATGAAGCTGTCATGATACTTGATATCTTGTTATTGTTGTTCCTACACTAATAATTATCCACGAAACTGAACAGACACTAATGGGAACACATACACTACTACTAGTGATGCAGAATAATAGAGAGAAACTGTAGTGATACTGGCAGATCCACTTGAAGGGAGAAGTAGAGAATAACAGAGATGGAGAAGGATAGCTGTGTGAATGCATAGAGTTTGTGAAACAGACAAAGTAGGTATCAGCAGAGAAACAGAACAGGGCGTACTAAATGTACATCTGACGAAGGACGAAAAGTGCTAGGTAGGATCATTGATAGGAAGGGAACAAAAATGGTCAAACAGTGAAGACGGTAAGAGACGCCGCAAGCTCGTCTGGGACAAGCCATGCGTTGCATGCATAGAAGTTCGAAGTGCGACACACAACGTGTAACAGAGACGAAGATGGACAGATGGATCAACGGGCCCAGAAGCGGAGAGAGAAGGAGAAGGACAACGGAGAGAAGATCAAGATGGCGGTGAATAGCTCAATATCAAAAGTCGAGACTATTGATAGACGCGCTCGGGGAACTTTGACCTTGACTTCCTATCACTGTTGCTTCGATCATCATTTATCTTTCATCTCCTCCCAATCGTTCGAAATCACGAATCATGCGGAGGCCGGTACTACCATGGGCTGTGTGAGTTGTGCTGGCTGTACGTTCTGAGTCTGAAGGAGCTCCTTCGCTGCAGAAACGGATGAGGCAGTGAGAGTCGAGGTTTTCGACGCAGACAGGTCTGGGGAATGAGGTTGTGGAGGAGAGTTGGTGACTGTCTCTTCGTCTGTTAAGGATGACTCGGACGTGGAGTTCGTAACCCGTGGCACGAGTGTAGATACGACTTTCTTTCGAGTCTGTTCTGGGAGGTCGGGGACGACGAGTTGGTCTGCGGCCTTCTCGTCAATAACCTCCTCTGCATCTGCGTACGTCCTCGTCTTCCTCAAGCTATCCATCGCATGCCTAATCGTAGTCGACCAGCTAATCGTTCCTTGTAATGTCGTAAGGCGCGTAGGTTTCCAACCCTCCGGTAACTTGTTTTCTCCCCACCATGACTTAACAACTTCGACCGGTACTCTAAACTCCTTCCCTCCGAAGATCTGCAGTACAAGTGCGACTTCCCCGCGTGCAATTTCTTGCTGCACGCTAGTCACTTCCGTACCCTCTCTAGGTCCCTCAACGTCCTCACGCCTTACACGCGCACGAGCGATATCGTCCGCACCAAACCCGCCCTTTCTCGCGTCTCTCAAAAACTTCTCGTATAACACCGGGCAGTTGCGTTTAGGTGCGTAGTCGTCCGAGAAAGGTGTGTTAGCGTGAGTGAGTGAGGCATCATGTTCGATACGATTGTGACGAGCGAGGTCGGAGAGGGAGAGTGTACCGACTTGACCGAGGAGGAGGACGCCGCCCCAGGAGAGGAAGGCGGCGAGTGGGTAGGAGAGGTTGTAGCAGTCGATTAGAGCGTTGGTGAGGATTGTGCCTGTGAGGTTTCGGCCGTTGCGTGGACTGTGTATTGTCGCGTTAGCATTTGTTTGAGAAAGGATAGAGAGGAAGAGAGGAACGTACAGATATCCGTGGTTGGCCATCGCGTTCAACGCGGGACAGGGTGATCGAGCGTCATCTGGCCCCGGCTTTCGGAATTTATGGTGGTTGTGCGATGCGCCTCCATTCGCGTATGGACAGGGCTTCCTACGTCCACCCAGCAAAGGGGACGAGGAGGATGAGGATGCGGGTGAGGAAGATGGTGCAGGGGAGAACGAAGGTAAGAACGAGAGCACGGGGAACGCGCTCTTCGCGCGAGGGTCTGTGCCCAGGGCTATGTGCAGCGGAGAGAAGAGGAAGAACTTGAGTGTGTTGAGTTGGATGGGGATGAGGTTCAAAAGGAAGGAGAAGAGGAATTTAACGTCGTCGAGGAAGCCCATCTTGCGCAGTGTCGAAACAAGAGTGGGGAGCGAGCAGAGGTGCGGGGGATGGGAGTTTTTAATTTGGCGAGATAGAGAGCATGGAGAGGGAGGGTATATAAATGCGGGTATGAAATACGGTACCTTTGATTTGCCCAGAGTCGGATTAGCACCAGGACAGGTTATAGCACCGGTCCTCGCTTAAACTTCTCTTGGACGGGATGTCATATCCCATCTCAATCTCTCATCAGTCATCGAAACATCACAAGCGACGGTCAATGCTATCAGTGGGTATGTAACACTGCCGCATGGCCTGATCGTCCCGGGTGTCTGGTCCGTCCGAGCGGAAGAATTAGAGTGAAACGACGCGAGAAGCTCAGCGAGACTCGCGAAGAGAACCCAGTTTTCTCCTTGCACGAGGACAGACATCGGCCTCGAGGAGAGACGCTGTTGGTCCAGTGGAGCGCCTAACTTACACTAGACTAGAACTAGTACAGACTATTTACAGACATGGTTAGAAAATAGAAATGACTTGGATTTGGTGTAGTGGGAGGAGCGGTGTATTGCTATTTACGCGACGAGCAAAGAGACCGAGCGTTGAATGGTGAGAGGGAGTGATGATCTATAGATGGCTGTGTAAGTTACAAGTAGAAAGTGATCAGTATCAGTGATTGCCGGCGCTGTTCCGGGCGGTCGGTCGTCGGGTCATCTTCCCCGTCCGTTTCATTATTTCCTTTTCTTTCCACCTGTTCTCGGTTTTACTGTACCACCGACCGAACTCTCCAATCCAACTCTCCCCCGCCCATTAAAATTCCATCATTCGTCGTTGTCGTGGACAAGGGAACAAGACATCAACTGACGGGCGAATCTAAATAATTCTGATCTAAAGGTACCGCTTTGACAGGAAGGACGAGTGGACTGCCTGATCTGCGAAATCCGAGTATCCGGATGTTGAATGTGTCCGTTTTTCCTTTCTCACTGTTTTTATCAGCTCGGTATTTCGCTTGGTTTTATTATTTTGCACATTTAGCTGATGACCCATTCTAATTCTCCGTTTCCCACCGGATCGGAATCAAAATTTTGATTGGCTTTTCGTCATTCCCTTGACACGTTCAAACATTCAAACCCAGCGGAATTCGCACGTACGCACGACGCGCAGTTGTTTCGTTGCATATTATTATTACGAGCAATATGAGAGTATGCTCATGTCTGTCTCTGTCGCCATCGCCATTGCGCTGCAAGCCTGACGAAAAGTCAATAATTTCTTTTTGTAGCAGGTACTCTGCTTGGATAGGTTCTTCATGCAGCACAGCCACCCGGAATTCCAACGGACGGCAAACCCGTTGTAGGGACACAGCATGACGACAGGCTTAAGAGCCAGAAAAGCCATTTCCATTTCCACTCAAAACGTATCGGAATTTGCTGTGCCAAGGTTATCAGTATCAAATGGAGGCAATACATCTACCTCTGTTCCTTATGTCTATAGCTCATGTGAGACTGGGAGACAACCTGGGCTTGCTTGGTAAGACTTAATGTGGAGAACTTGCATATAGGCAGACAGAACTGAGTGTAAAGGTAGGGCATGTACCAACTGAGATCAATGGCAAAGTAGGAAATGTAGAGAGACAGGAAGCAGGGTAGGAGAGGGGAATAGTTGGGAGTGTGTCCCAGATACTAATACTGCTCCCAATCCTCGTACAACCAAATTCAGCAGTAGTACCAAGCCAAACTCAAGTCATACCCATACTCAGCCTTGCCCTTTCCCCTCTAGTTTGAGTCAGCACCAACTGCTCCTGGAGGAGAACTGAGTTCCAAGCTCACTTTGGAAGTCATTTTGAATTGTCCACAGAGCAAGCCAGGCTTGCTCAAATGGCATTGTATACCCAATCCATTTGTCCTACCCTGACTTGTTAGAGTAGTGAAACCCTAAATTACTCATGCTTGTACTGTATAAAGCTATTAGTGTTCCATTTATTTTTCTCCCTTTCTTGTTTACAGTTCCCCTTGAGCATACTCTGGCAACAACCCAAACTACTATTACTCTTTTCACACACTGTGCTCCTGGCAATCTGCTGTATTCTTTCCATATACCCTTTCTTTCTTTCCCTAGGAAGGAACATGAATATTGAGAGAGTTGGTTAGAGTTTATGAGGCTACAGTGTTACAATTCTCTACTCTCATACCTTCAGTTCTAAGGGTTCTACACCCTTCTGTATTAGAACTCAGGACTTCTGTCCCTCAGGAGTGCTGTCTATAAACTATATGTGTGCTGACTCTTACTACTACCCTTCCTTACTTTATTATTCTATTCCTTTGACCACCCCTTCATTCTTTGTTCATTCTATAGTCTCTTACCCTTTGTCCATCCCTTCATTCTTTGTACCTTTATCTTTGACATTCCTTTCTTTCATTCTTTATAGCTTATTATTCTTAGTGGCTCATACTCTCTGAGTACTCTTGTGTAGTTTAGTATATATAGGTATACAAGATTAGACTGGTTCTATAGTCTTGATCTTGTCTACTCTAGATAGTCCTGTACTCTTAGACTCACTCTATATACTCTACTCTTGTCTTACTCTCTCTCTCCACCTGTTCTGCAAGTTCTGACTATATTCTAGTACTTGTGTTCTGTATTTCTGTTGTGTAGGATAGTTGTAGCCTGAGTCCTCTTACTAAGCCTTCAGGTCCCCTCTATACTGTTACTGACATTAGATCAAGACTACCTATTACTACCCTATAACTCTCCTACATTTTGAGCATTAGTACTTACTGTTGTGTTAATCTCTTTTCTTTGTTCTAACCCTTTTACATTTTTAAATTTTAAACTTTCTAAACCCTTTTAAACTTTTACTACCCTTCTTCTATTTATTACCCTTTTTAGTTTAGTACTGATTCCTTTATAGTGTAAACATAGACCCTCCTATACTGACTACCACCCCTACTGTCCTACTAGATTAGTAGTTACAAGTAGAACTAGCTTAATATGTATAGACCTCTATCTAAGAGGCCTTTACTAACTACATACTCCTAGCCCCTTTAGAACCTGTTCTGATTGTTCTGAAAGTTACAACCTGTTTTAGAAAGAAAGTACATGTAGCCTACTCTTCAGACTTTAATAGGTAGTACTTTAAGGACTTCCAGTACTAAGTCAAACTATATGTAGCTACTACTTTGACCAATCTATCCTTAGATCTTAATCATATCCTATTTGTCCTCTCCTTCATAAAGGAAGGTAATACAGCCACCTGGGCCTAGAACTGGATCAAAGGCTATTAGATTAGAAGCCTAATCTGACTTTAGAATAACAAGTTATATTCAGAATTTATAAGGCAGCTCTGTACTTCCTTTATTAATTTAAATAAGAAGTACAATGTATAGAACAAGCTTGTGTCTCTATAACAGAGCAAACATTCTGCTAATACTTTCTTTCAGGAGTTTAATATCCTAGCCTAGAAGGTAGGATTCATACTTAAGTTTAATAATGTTCTTATTAGAATGCTTGAAAAAGCTCTTTACCTAGAACTAGTTAATAAGATTCTTAGAATAACACTAGAACTGGTTACTTATACTGAGTAGAAGACACACACTATTTCCTTTAACTAAGCCACAGTCTGAATGTGTCAAGTCTGTACAGAATACTTACACATGTGTTTAGCTCTAACAGTTCTGAGCTCTCAGATTAATCTGTCTGTAATTTGTAATCAATCTGTTCTAATAGACATTAGAGAAGCCTGAAAGTAAGGAGTATACTTTACATACAGAAAGTCAGGGCACTAAATTAAGGACTACTTACAGAAGTAACAGTACATCTGTCAGATTATTAGAGTAATAATGAGTAATGAGTAGGATTTGTAGTAAGAAGCCTTTTCTATAAATCTGGAAGCTACCTCAGAACTCCTAGACCCTGACTACATACTCTAGAATTTTGTAAAGGTCTAACAGTGAATACAGTACTGAAGGACTATGACTCAGATTTTTTAATGACTACTTTTGATTTAATAGACACTATAGGATTAGAAGTAAATAAAGTAGAAAAAGCAGAAAAAGTAGAAAAAATAAATTAACAAAATTATTTATTAGAAAGAAAAAAGTCAAAAACAAAAGTAGATAGTTCTCCTATTTCTCCTGATTCTTTTGATTCTTCTCTTTACACTTTATCCAAGTTTAAATCTATACAATCTAACCTACTACTTCTGTGTTTTAAGGTTTTAGAACATTTAGAATACTACCTAGCCCTGTTTACTACTTAGTAGTTTGTCTATAGTATTAAGTAGGGATAGTCTTAACTGAGTTCACAGCTAAGGACATAAGTCTGTCCTTGTTGAAAGAGAGAGGTTAATAAGGAAATGTTAGTACATATACTTACTCTCTTAGACAACAAGACTGTACAAGCTGTACATTCCCTTCAGAACAAGTAGTAGTTCATCTAAGGATGTTCTAGACACTAGCTCCAGGTCTCTGTCCTCTTAGCTCCCTTCTCAGGATCCCCCCAGATCCAAACAATAGCTCTAGTAGATAGTAAATACACTAGTTTGTATATTAATAAGGCTTTTGTATAGGAACACTACCTTCCTACTTAATGTGTTCTACTTCCAATTCTAGTATACAATACAGACAGAACCCTGAACTAGAATAGTTAGATTACTGAGTTTGTTCAACTATAAATGACCATTCAGAATCATAAGGAAAGTATTAAGTTTAGAGTTACTAACCTTAGAAAGACAGACATCTTTATCAGATTCAAATAGCTTAAGACTTACAACCCTACTATTAACTGGTTAGAGTAGACACTTGTGTTTGATCAGTGTTCTGAGTCTTACAACTACCTTGTACTACTGTTCTAAGTAGATACAAACACTTCTAATGTTACTAACAGTTCTAATAAAGGTGACTAGTTGTTCTTCTTTGACTAGGATAAATATATGAATACATATTCTAGTTAAGGTAGAACAGAGTCAATCTGAAGGATGTCTGAGACAGAACCAGTTTAGAACCACTTTAGAACAACTCTACTCTAGAACACACATAGACTCAGTCTGCCAGCTTTTGTCTGAGAGTTCCTTAAAGTCTTTAGTAAAGAGGAATTTGACCAGCTTCCTAAACACTGTCTCTAAGACTATATAATTGAATTGACTAAGGGTTTCCAACCTAAGGATTGTAAGGTCTACCTACTCAACAGAGACAAGTAGGAGGCACTTAATGAGTTCCTTTAGGAAAATCTTTAGAACAGTCAGATCCAACCCTTAAAGTTCTCTATAACCTCCCCTTTCTTCTTTGTCAAAAAGAAAGATAGAAAGCTCTACCTAGTCTAGGATTATTATTGTCTCAATAAGGGTACTGTCAAAAACAAGTACCTACTCCCTCTGATTCAGGAGCTCATTAATAAGACACATACATTTAGAGTTTTTACTAAGTTGAACATTTGATAGAGATACAATAATATTTGGATTCAAGACAGAGATGAGTAGAAGAATGTGTTCCAAACTAATTACAGATTGTACAAACTGACTATAATGTTCTTTAGACTAACTAACTTACTTGTAACATTCTAGTCATTCATGAATCACATCCTTATAAATCTGA